GCCTGGAGACATGACTCTCATGGGTGATTTCCTTTCCTTTCCAGCTCCTTCACCCCTCAAGACAAGCCTCTATCGTTGAGTGGCATGGTGACATTGATTGCTAGCATTACAGCAGTCGCACCATCTGGAGGAACCAGGGTAGCAGCATCCATTTAGATGGAGGCAGGGGAGTCCAGAAGAGAGAGCCAGAGGACTGAACTAATTCTGTGCATAATCTTTCTAGAGTCCAAGTCTAATTTCTGAATGAGTGGGACTCTCTCACATCAGTTTAACAAAGGTCTGCAAGACCTGTCACACAGGTGTCTGAACAGCTCAAGAATAACATACATGTATTAGCCAACCATCCTGGAGAGTTTAACAGACACATTAATGACCTACACAAGCCTTTGACTGACCACTGATCTTGGGAGACAGACCTAAAGAACCACAGAAAGTGTGAATTTGAACCACTTAAAAATTTGGTTTTTGGATACAGCTAAAGCTATCTTAGAGGAAACTTGTCAATGAAATACTTGTACTATGAAACAAAAAAGATCTAAAATCAGCTGACAAATATTCCATTTTAAGAAGATGGACCTGAAAAAAAGGCAAAACTAAACTAAAGTAAAATAGAAAGAAAAAAAATGAACAAAGGTTAAGTTTAGCACCAACAAAGGAAGAAAGAAGCAACATATAAAATAACTGACAGAAAACTGACTCCTAAAAGAAGTCAGAAAACACATATTGCTAAGAAAAGTGGGGTTTTCAATATAGACACTGCAGACATTACAGTAGTAATGAGAGATGATTAGCAATTGGCTAGATAGATGGCTCAGTGGTTAAGAGCACTGGTGCTCATGTAGAGGAGCTGGGTTCAATTCCCAGTGCCCACATGGTGGCTAGCAACCATCCATAACTCCAGTTCCAGAGGATTTGATGCCCTCTTCTGACCTCCATGGGCATTGCATGACTCGGGTGTACTTACATAGACTATATACAATACAGTCATACACATAAAAATAATAAATATAATAAATAAAATATTAAAAAAGAATATTAACAAATTCACAAAAAATTCAACAATTTACATGAGATGAACATTGTCTTGAAAAGTGTGACATCCATACTGACTCAATTGAAAAGTGTGACATCCATACTGACTCAAGTTGCAATAGAATATTGATATTATATCAGCTAAAGAAACATTAATGTAAAATATTTCTATATGGAAAAGTTCAGACATAGCTGGTTGAATTTTCTGACTCAGGCACTCATACTAATCTCTCAAAACCACTTCAGGCGACAAGAGCTGTTTGGTAACTCCTTGGACACAGGCATTATGGGAAGGAAACATGGACCCACAGACCCGAAAATCCTTCATAACATATTAAAATGCATGCCACAGTATATTGAAAAGGACAACACAGTGTTGTTTCAGTAATACACTGCTGATTTGATATCCCAAAATCGAGTACTTTCATATTTCATACTAACAATGCTAGGTAAAATTATGAACATTTCAATAGAGAGTAAGAAGTCATTTGACAGCATTCCATGTCATGATAAAAGCTTTCAGCAAAGCAAAAACCATCAATTTGATGACAGGAGATTTTGAAAATCTTAGAGCCAACCTCACATTTGGTGTTGCAAAAACAAGGATCTTCCCCTGAGGCTGGAGACACTAGAAGGACACCACTTTCACCTCCAGGTCATGCTGGTCATGCTGACTTCACTGGATGATGTTGTACAGCAAATAAAACAAGCAAAGGGCACAAAGGTCCAAAAGAAAAAGTAGAAGTGTCCCTACCTGCAGACCATGTGGTTGTAAATGCAGACAACTCCAGCAGTAGTGCTAGTAGAGTTTAAACATAAACCCGGTAAGGGTAGAAGTTGTGAGATTGTGTCTGTCACCTTCCTGTAATGAGACAAAAGACCTGGGAAAAACAGCTTGAAGGAGGATGGATGTGTCTGGATCAATGGGTTCTGAGGCTTCAGGTCATGTTGTCTGGCTCCATGGTTTCTGGACAAAACACCATGGTCCAAGGGTGTGCAGGGCCAGGCAGTTCACTACAGCTAGAAGCAGAGGAGTGAAGGACCAGAGGAGAGACATAATCTCCAAGGGTGTGGCCCAGGACAGCTTCCACTTCCTGAGTACAAAGCAATTCATCTGGGAAATTAATCAACTGGTTATCTGTATGAAAACAAAAAGGATGATGGAATTTTCTTTGTTTTTGTGTTTTTATACCTTTATTTGTCTTTCCTCTATTTCATTTCAATTTATAGGCTCTGGTAGTATTCACATTATCTTAGTCTTAATAAAACTCTCAGTCGTAAATTTGCTCCCTTATTAATTTTAATCCTTAAATGCCCTTTGGTATGGGTCTATCCACTGGAGCCTGGTCAGCCTAACAAGAGTCACACCCTTAAATGAGACTGACTCTCCTCCTCCCAGTAGCCATTAGTTGCCAATACTTCCTCAGGTAGGCTTGGGTTTCTTACTCACTTCCCCAGATCTATGCTGGGATTTTGTCTGGCTTGAGCTTACATGAGATTTATGCATGCTGTCACCATTGTTGTGAGTTGATGTAAGTACCTGTCCAGTTGTCTGGAAAACTGTTTCCTTGTGGTTATCCACTACCTCTGGCTCTTAGAATCTTTCTACCTCCCCTCTTTTACAATGATTCCCGAGTCTCGGGAGGCAGAAATTTGATATAGGTATCCTATTGAGATAAGTACTCTGCAGTCTCTTATTCTTTGCACATTGACCAGTTGTGGGTCTCTGTGTTCATCACCATCTTCTTCATAATGAAGCTTCTCTGTTGAGAATTGAGAGATGCATTGATCTATAGCTATAACAGTAAGTCTTTAGGAGTCAGTTTAATAATATATCTATTTAGCTCTCCCCTATGGCCTGTGATCTGTCTAGGCCCAGGTTCCTAGTCTTGATATCAATGTCAAGTATGAGCTCCATCTTATAAAGCAAACCTTTACACCAATTAGAAAGTGGTTGGTTACTCCTATAATATTCATTCTACTATTGCACTGGTGGGCATATCTTGCCAGGCCAGTTGTTGTAGCTCTCAGTATTCACAACTGAGTAAGGCCGATGATTATATTTTCCTTCTGGTAGCATGCAAAGCACCTTCCAGCGCTATGAGCACTAGCCAGTAGAGATGAGGCTCTGAAGTCAGTACCAGCTTGATTTCTTCTTGTTTGTTCTGCAGCTTATGTATATAGTGTCTTCAGCCATAAGGTCTTACCATATAATTCTGGTGGGTAACCAACAATAAGGGCAATGGCCAGTATTGTTTGAGGATCTATGAGACCTCTGGTCACCAGCTTCAAAATAGGGAGTCCATTCCTGGCATTGGGGTTTTATTTTGCTAACCTATGTTGTCTTGTAGGGCAATGCCCCACTGTTAAAACTCCTTTTCTTAAGAATCTTTTATAGTGGTAAGTTTCCATATAGCTTCTAAAGGCCTTTAGTGTTAGTTAGCCATACTCCCTCCTCTGCCCTGTCCTTCCCATTCCCACTTTATTATTCCCCTACCCCTATGTATCACTGCATTCTACTTCCCAGAACGTGCCACCCGACATGGCTGTTTATTAGTTTCCTTACCTCTCTGTCATCTACTCTGCAGAGGCTGAGAATGCAACTCATCAACTCACAGTGGGCAGTCCCATGGCAAAGACCGAGCTGGCTCTATATTAGCTACTTTTCTAATTGCTGTGACAAAATACCTCATAAAATCAACTTAAAGAAGTAAAGGCTTATTTTGGCTCATAGGTTGAAGCTGTGAAGGTGAAACGTAAGTTCTAAAGGAGACCTCAAGATGCACAAGATGCCAGGACCATGGGCATCTACCAAGGGGTACTGCAGGCACAAAGTAGAGCCAGCCCAAGAGACAGTATGTGTGTTATGGTGGCAGAACCGGAGGGATGGGGTTACCCAAGATGATTGGAGCCCAGATGTTCCCATCACAAAGCTCACATGCCAGATATGGAGATACAGGATTTGATGTTTTCCCTGTTGAGTCTCAGTCTTGCTTTACCCTGGTCCCTCCATTTTGGAATAGGAATGTTGTTGACTATCGGAAGTATATACCTTGCCACTTTTTTATTGTTGTTTTTTGATTGGTTTAGATTTTACAAGAGTTTATCTGAATCTCAGTAGAGATTCTACAATTAGACTTTTAAACAATGTTGGAAATGTTAAGATGTTGGAGACTTTTAGAGATATATTAAATGAATTTTGCATTGTGAGATGAGCACAATGTCAGGGACAGGAGTGGGATATTATGACTTAAAGTCACGTATTTGGGTGTCAAGTTGACAAGGGGCAGACTTGTGAGAACTAACCTTCATTGTTGGCTTTCTGGAGGTGGACACTGAAGACAAACCTCTGAGTATATTTGTGAAGGTGTTCCCAAAGACATTTGACTGAGGAGGAAGACCAGCTCTGAATATGGGTGCTACCATTCTATGGCTCAGAATCCTGATTGAATAAATAGGGAAAAGGGAGAAAGAGAGCTGGACATCAGTATCCATCTCTCTCTGCTTCCTAATCAGCTTCACACTCCTGCCACCACAGCTACAACCACCTGCTGCCACACTCTCCCTACCTTCCGCTGGATACAGCTTCTGCATGGGCCCAACACTATAAACATTGTCACACCCCTCAGTTAAACAGCCTTTTCCCTCTTTCTTGAAAGGTTATTAGAAATGCATTTTCACTGTAGACCTTAAAATAAAGATATTGCCTTCTACTCAAGTTTAACACAGACATTGGCACAAATCAATGTGGAATACCTGCTTTTGCTGTTAAACTTTTCTCCTCTGCAAATCTTTGTGTATCTATATGGTAGCAAATCATTTATAGACTATGTTATGGAGTCTAATCTTTTATAAGAAATGATAATGTTGACCTACCTTATGTTCCCCTGGAATTTGAAAGACAGTTTTAACACGCTGTGTATATTCTCATTTTAAAGCTGATTTTCACCACACATCCTTTCTTCCAGGCATTGGCACACCTCCACTTAATAGAACATGTTGGGGAACAGACTGCTTTGCTGATAAAGGTACATTTAATGTTGAAACAGAATGTGTTCTGGCTGTGTTCTTTGATTTTTTTTATAGAAAAAAATCTGGTAAGAATAGGTCACATTAATTATGTAAAAAGCACAGCAGGAGCTTACTTTATCCTGGGTAGTCTAGAGATGAAGGGAGACTTTCCACAGAATATATAATTACAGATGCTTGCTAGTTTGCTTTTAGCCTTTAGTTAAAATCTGCCTAAGAAGGGGCAGTGGTCAGTAAGTAGAAGCTACAGAGGTTCCTATTCCAGGACTTTACAGGCTATCCGGCAGGAAGGACCAGTATGTGTAGCTACAGATGTGGGCAAGGAAAGCTTGTTTCTCTGCCTACACAGCTGCCCTCCATTACTTGTGGCCAAGGTTCTTGGAATAGGTGTGATCTTACTTTTCACATCTGTGTCTGCCTTGGTCTTGTAAGAGGAAAAACTAACAATCTTTTGGCCCATTCCCAAGTGGGAGGTTAATACACAGCATGGCCTTTATCTGCTTTTTCCAGATGGTTCCAGAGGATCGGCGACTTGCAGCTGCCATCGTGCTGATAGTGTGGGTCTCAGCCTTGACATCATCCTTGATCGACAATATCCCATTTACCGCCACAATGGTGAGTGGTGAGTTTCTGTGTGTTTAAGGTGCAGCCCCAGTCGGCAGTCATCTGGGCTCACCCTTCCTTCCTAAGAAGCAGAGCATGAACCCACCCTTTTGTTGCTCACACACCTGTAAGGACAACAAGTGAGCAGAGCCCTGGGCAGCTGGGCATGGAACACTGAGAGCCTGCTAGCAGGCTGGGCACCCTAGATCTGTGATACATCACTGTGATGGGTTCTATTAGGAGCCAGAGTGAGAGCTTCTATGCCTCCTAGGGGAAAAATTTTTGTTTTTAAGACACCAAGAAACAGCTGTCATCTTTATTTTCTGTAAATGGATACACTATTGTAATCAGCCTGCATGGCTTCTGGTGCTTGGCCTGGGCAGGGATTTTAAGTCCCCATTTGGTTCTGACTCCCAGATAACACTAACCATTCCTGGGAGGTCTTCTGGGTCATTGATTAGTTTAGGGAAGGAACTGAACCCTGGTGTGAAAAAGTAAAGGTGGGAAGGTAGGAGCAGAGGCTTGCAGGTAAGAGGTGTGATTCTGTCACAGCTCAGGGCCCATCCGCAGGGGATGGAAAATTTGGTAGGATGCTGGGTGGGGGACTTCTCTCTGTTGTTCTTGTGGCCCTAAGGGGCCCACTACCCCCTCAAATAGTCCACACGTTGCCCTGTAGCCTCATCACCCTACGTCATCCTGGGATGAGTGCAGCAGAGCTGGCAGTGTGAGGAGAGGACTGGCCAGGCTCACAGCCTCTTCTTCCAGGACCCACACTGTGTGGACCTGAGGGTCTATCTCCTGTCACCCTGGGTTTCATTTTCTGCCAAGTTTTGTCTTCTGCTGACAGAGCTATGGTTCTTGTTTCAAAGCATAGGGTGGGAATTCCCAGCTAACTCCATGGCTGTTATTTCTGGCAGTCACTGTTAGAAGAAAACCCATGAAGTCTTCAGGGATCCAGAATGGTAAATTTGAGGGGTCCAGAGTGTCTCAAAATGTTGCAACCAGTAATATGCTTAGATGAAAAACCTAAGTATTTTTGTCTGAAGTCAGTGATAATGCAATGTTAGCTGTGGGCATTTTGATCAGCAGGGTTTACTAGTCAGAGGCTGTGTAATAAAGCCAGAAAAGCAAGAAAATAAAGGACAGGAAATGAAGTAAATGTTACTCTATGAGACTATGAACCTGTGCATATATAAGTCAAAAGAACCTATCAATTAGCTATTAAGGTCAATAAGCCAATTTTTCAGATATGTTAGACATAAAAATTAGTTAAGAAATTAGTTGTGTTCCTTTATAGAGGCAATAAACTAATAGAAAACGAAAGATTGAAATAAATGACATTGTCAGGTAGAGCTGCCCTTATATACGTCTTCACCTTTTTTTTTCTTTGTAGTTTTTTCATATATTTTTTAATTGAATTTTTGTGTATTTCATACACATCTTTTAAAAATGTTTTATTTATTATTTTTATTTTTATATGTATGGGTGTATTGCCTGCATGTATGTGAATGAACCCATGTCGTGCAAGCCGCGGAGGTCAGAAGAGGGCTTCGGATTCCCCTGGAATTGGAGTTAAAGATGGTTCATAGCCACCATGTGGGTGCTGGGAATCGAACTTGGATCCTCTGCAAGAGTAGTCAGTGCTCTTAACCACTGAGCAATCTCTCCAGCCCCCATACACAACATCTTAATTATCTTTATAACCCCTTCCTCACTGGCACCCTACCACAGTCACCCCATCTACTGGATTTCATGCATTCTGTTCTTTATGTTAAGGCCCATTGTGTCAAGTTAATGTCCCCAGATTTCTCTCAGTGTAAGTTCATCCACTGGGGTCTAGTCAGCCTATCTAGAGTTGCTCCCTTAAAGAAGATCAGCTCTTCCTCACCCATCAGTAATCAGCTATACAATGGTTCTTCAGCTAAGGTTGGGGACTGCTGCCCATTCCACAGTTCTATGCTGCGTTTTTGTCTGCTTGAGTCTGTATGAGTCTTCTGTATGCTGACACCATTGCAGTAGGTTAATATGAGCAGGGTCCCAGGAGCTTGTCGGACTCTATTTCCATGTAGTCATGTACCTCCTTCCTGGCTCTTACAATCTTTCTGCCCCCTCTTCCAAAATGGTCCCTGAGTCCTGGGTGGGTAAAGTTTAAGGACCCATACTCTGCAGACTCTTATTGTCTAGTCTTCAGCTTTTGAGACAAGCTTACCTTGCATGCTTATCTTGTTCTCAGTGTGCTAGAATTTGTTATGTCCATGTTTTCACTCAAAATGAGGAGCTTGAGCATGTATCCAGCTTGCCTCATAGTTTCTAGTTTAAAAGTGAAACTGAGGTGAGCAGGGGCCCAGGAATCTCTGAAGATCCTGATTTCAGCCATGTTAGTGGGTCATCAGACGATATGGTCTGTAGAATGCTACGTTTCTAAACCTCCGAACATCCTTGACCCATCCTGGTGACCAGTTTTGCTTCAGCCATATGCTCTAGAAACACTGCTTGTCAGTTTGTGCAGTTCGTTGCTGTTGTGACATTGTTCCCTGCCGTGCTGACATACATAGACCAAGATTCCCCATTTAGTTCTTTCCACAGTGTGCTACTGAGGAAGATATTACCAGAACTTATGAGCGTAGCTTTCTCAGAGAAGGGAGGAAAAAAGCAATCCTGCAGGCTGTGGGGAGGAACTCAGAACATTTATCTTGTAATGTTTTTCTTGGAAGTAAAACCAGTAGAAAGCTCCAAGGCAAAGAGAATAAAATCTTCCAATTTCCTACTGTGCATGTGAGCATACACATCTAAACATATAAGCAGCTTATCATGTAGTCAGACCTCTAGACTCTCTCCTCTTCTAATCAATTTGTCCTAAGAGAGCAGATCATCTTGGGGGTTGGTCTTTCACACACTCTGCACAGCTTTTTATTTGTTTATGCGACTCATTTCTTTTATATTGTGTAAGGTCTCCGTCTTGTTTCCAAGCCTCTACCTGCCGTATCTTGTTCAATACTTTATTTTGGCTCTTAAAATTATTTTATTTTTTATTGAACCTTTGTTATTTCATACAGAACATATCAATCAATTTTAATCATTGTTATACACCCTTCCCCACTGGCACCCACCCAACCCCCCCCCCCACTGGAATTCATACATTCTGTCATTTTTCTTAAGGCCTATTGTGTCAAGTTAGTGTCCCCAGATGTCCCTCAGTGCAAGTTCATCTACTGAGGTCTAGTCAGCCTATCTAGAGTCTCTCGCTTTAGAAAGATCAGCTCTCACCTAGCAGTAATGAGTTGCCAATATTCTTCAGCTAAGATTGGGGCCAGCTGTCCATTTCCCCAGTTCTGTGCTGGATTTTTGTTTGTTTGAGTTTGCATGGGTCCTGTGCATGCTGATAGCATTGCTGTAGGTTCATATGGGCAGGATCCCAGGAGCTTGCAGGACTTTATTTCCATATGGTCCTGTGTCTCATCCCTTGCTCTTACAATCTTTCTGCTCGCTCTTCCTCAATGCTCGCTGAGCCCTGAGTGAGTGTAGTTTAATATAGAAGTCCTGTCCAAGCATTCTGACAAGCATTCTGCAGACTCTTAGTCTCTACACTTTGGCCATTTGTGATCTTTTGTTCCTGGCCCTTTGTTGCATGAGGGGACTTCTTTAATGAGAATTGATATATCATCATTGTCTTCTTTACCCCTTGTTCTATGTTCAATGAGCCTTAGGTGTAGAGGTTGCATTGTAGATGTGCTACTTAGATTTGGGCAATTCACAGACAATGTGTATGATCAGTGGTATTCACTGTGGTACTCTGTAATAGTCTCCATTTGTTGCAAAAGAAATTTCTTTGATGAGTGGTGACTGGAATATTGGTTGGCAAATATAAGGATACATATTTTGCACATAGTAAGAAATTACATTAGTCTAGGAATGTGGCAGTCTTGGGGTTTTCTCTAAGATCTGTGACCTCTCCAGCCATGTATATTTGGTTATGTTCACAGCACCACCATCAAGTTTCCTCCCATTGAGTGGGCTTTAAGTACAATTAGATAGCTGTTGATTGCCCCCAAGATAAAAGTGTCACTACTCCACTAATGTTGTGTGCCGTGCAGGTCATTGATATGGTTATTTGGTCTTGAAGCTGGTGTTGGACCATTGATTGATATTCTCCCTTAGGACCTTGCATAGTGTTTTCCAAAGCTACCATAGCTAACCTTCAGGGACGGTGGCTTCCAGGTCAGTTCCAGCTCCATTACTCCAAATCCCATGTCCAAAGTATGTTCTGTCCTCAGCAGTAGTGTCTTACTTTCAAGTTCTGGGAGGCATTCAAGGGCTGTGGCAACAGCTTGTGTAATTTTGGGAGTCTCTTGGACCACCCTGGCCAACAATTCAAAGGAAGGATTCTTTTTTGGTTGTATCTTTACCTGGTTTTGGTATTAGAGCGATGCTGACTTATTGGAAGGAATTTGGGAATTTTCCCTCTGTTTATATCTTTTTGAATAATTTGAGTAGTATTGGTTATAGATCTTCTTTAAATGCCTGGCAGAATTCTGCTGTGAATTAATCTGGGCCTGGACATTTTTTAGTTGGGAGGTTTCGTATTACTGTTTCAATTTCCTTATATGTTATGGGTCTGTTTAAGCTGTTGATCTGTTCTTGGATTAGCTTTGGTGGTTCCCATGATTTTAGATATCCGTCCATTTCTTTAAGATTTTCAAATTTAATAGTGTATAGGTTTTTAAAGTATCCCCTTATAATGTTCTGTATCTTTCTGGTGTCTGTTGTGATGTTTCCCTGCTCATCTCTGATTTTGTTGATTTGGCATTGCTCTTTCTTTTGGTTAACTGGGCTAAGGGTTTGTCTATCTTATCTTTTTCAAAGAACCAGCTCTTGGATTTGTGGATTCTTTGAATTGTTTTATTTCTATTTCATTAATTTCTGCTGATTTTTGTTATTTCTTATTGTGTGCTGGGTTTGGGTTTCGTCTGTTGTTGCTTTTCCAGTGTCTTTTGTTTTCAATGTTAAGTCAT